AAAAGACAATAGTTTGATTTCTTTGTTCGTCTGTTTCTAAGTAGTAGTGAAAAATTATAGGTCAAAATACTTATTGATTTGCTGAGTCAACCGAGTAGTTTCAATTTAAGCTAAATGAAAGCAGTAAAATATTGTTTTAGAATAAACAGGAGGGAAAAGCCCCCAAACACAAAATAACAAAAAAAAAAAAAAAAAAAAAAAAAAAACAACAAGATTTTCTGCTCTCAGAAATGTGCTTTCAGGTATCACCATGTGAAAAATCCTCTCCAAATTAGGATGATTCAGAAAGAAAGCAATGGTGCAACCAAAATAAAGATACCATCTTGGAATTTCCTAGAATAAAAGATGTGCACTCAAGCAGAGAACAATGAACCAAATCACAGTACAGGTTCCGACTTTTCAAAAGAATACAATCCATTCTACTGATAAGTAATCTAGGTGTTGTGCTATTAAGGAATACAGAGGTACTTTTGATACAATATTTTCCCCCGTCGACTTTCAATACAAATTTAACCGAATCGACCTTTTAAGGAAACAGATCAGAGGCCAGCCCGCACCATCTGACCACTGTCAGTTATCCTGTCAAAGGTGGAGCTGGAAAAGAATTCCTAAATTCTGACTCACAGGCCTCAAGAGAACTTATCTACTCAAAGAAACCAACATCAAAGGGAACCCTATTTTTTTCACCTGTTAACACGTCCTTTATTCAAACACAATGGAAAGTCCCTCTACTTTTAATTTACAAATTATAATTCTAACTATAGCGACTTATTAGATTTACAGTGAATACTGAAAACACTTAAAATACAGATATGTCCCAATTTGGGCAGACTGCAACAATAATGCCTCTCCAAATTTCTAAAATGCCTTTCACCCACCCCAAACCAGTACTACCCAAGGAGATCCCCACTGCTATGGAGATAAGCCTTACTCTCAACCAGCATAGTACACACAACACAGCTTCCAGCATCCACAACATTTTGCCACAGTTGAGGGTAAAAATAATGGGTGAGGACCCATAAATACTTCTGCCAGGATAAAGTGACAGGAAGAATACAATTATTGACATTGAAAGCTAGCCAAAGTCCCTGGATTGATAACCTTGCTTTATGGAGAAAGTGAGTAAGGGTGTCTGTTGATAAACATTTAACCAAAAAGGCTGTAATGTTCACCTAATGACTAATATTGTGCTGGTGCAGCAATTGTAATCAAAGGTCCCACGAAGTGAAAAAATGCCATTTACTGAAATTACTACCACAAAACGTTTTCCTAATGTATTTACACAGGTATATAATGTGCTATAGTAATTTAAGCTTGGACTCTCTATTGAAAAGCTTTCAGCGCATGTAATGGAAAACCTGGAGGTGAAGAGGCATATTCAGGACAAAGTTGGGGCATAAGTTTAAATTCTATCTATCAAGGCACAATTTTGCAGAGGCATTCCACTGACCTATCTAGAAACACACCATGGAGCAAGACTCTTTTTTGCAGCCAAGAACCCCAAAATTTAGAGAATAATTTGAGGTAGCCAAAGATATATCATAACAGCCAATTTGTTCAAGAGAAAAAGTGAGTTAAATTCTCTCTGGATATGAATGGCACTAGCTGAGATAACAAAGGTTTTTCCAATTGGGTATATTAGCACTGTTTTCATAATCAATGCCTCAGAAAAAAATGCAGGATTTTAAGCCAATCAAATTATGGATAAGTGAGACCATTAAGTCTCTGAATAAAAATGGAAAAGACATCAGGGAGGCTACATGTGGGTTCCAACAGGGGGATCAGGAAATCTAGGCTTCTGAGGCTGTTCAATTGGCTAACTGTGACCTGAGGCAAGCAACTCAGTCTCTGAGATCTCTTTTCCTCACCTCTGACATGGTCTCACAGAAGAGGCTGGTGGGGGAGGAGAGAGATTGATTGGAAAGGGGTGTGAGGAAACTTACTGGGGTGATGGAATGTTTTCTGTGTTAGCATGTACACAATCATAAAAAAATCATCAAACTGAACACTTAAAATCTGTGCTCTCTGCTATATGTTAATTATATTTCAATTAAAAACAAAGAAACGAATAAACTAAAATGATTTCTAAGTTTTTTTCTGGCGCTATGATTCTATGACAACTCACCATATGAGCCCCTCTTCATACAATAGGCATGTTCCTGAAGTAGTGAGGGAATATTGTACTTTTATAAAGTCATGAATAGTCTTCCACAGAACCAGTATTAATTCAAATGTGCTCTATCTTCCCTTTAGGCTAACCGTCAGTTACAAATCATTATATATGTGCCTGCTCCAATATAGTCTCAATATCATCAACAAATCAAGCATTTCTAAAAAGCTGTTTCTTGTGCCAGACTTGTAATCAGAGTAAACATTTTAAAGATTAATTATAATACTTGATTGTTAATTATTAATAATTCATAATACTAATGATAATAAGAATAATAACTTCAACCACAACTGCTACTTACACTTATTGAACATTTACTGGGTACCAGGCACTGTTCTAAACACTTTATATACATTCTCCCAGTTAATCCACATAACATTTCTAAGGAATAAGAACTATTCATCACATTGTGAGTTATCATAAGCTCCTCCCTCCTGATTCTCCTCCACATACTTCATTAAGTAAATTTGGATCCTGGAGTTTTCTCAAAACTGAGCTCAGCTGCTCTATATGGTTCTTCAGTTTCCTGTTCTTCCTTAACAATATTTATTGCACATTAATATTGCCAAGAGTGGGGAGAAGGATGAATATATGTTAGGTTGATAAATGATGAGAACCAGACCATTGGTTCCCTCTTATACAATGCTGGGCTGAAATTATTTCATAAAAGGTCTCTCCAAAGAGTAAGAGTGATGGTGTTTTATTCAGAATCACAAAATCAGAAACTGTCTCAAGAGGTTCTCCTTTAGCAATCCTCTTCTTTCAAGACAGTGCTGTACTGATATAACACTGGGCAAAATGGCGTAGATGATATGGGCTTTGTTCATCTGCTCTTGCAACCACATCAAGTTGTGACAGAAACATGGAAGAAACAGCAACCAGAGTTGCCTGGGGTCTAGATGAAGAGAAGCCCTACAACTAGGG